GCATTATGTGGAAGCAGGAAAGTCCTGAAATGTGGATCGATATAGGAAGGAAAGGAAACACATTTCTTTCCAGTCTGGATTTTGTTTAAAAATAAATACTATATATGCCTTCATTTTATTGTCTGGAACATTGCAGATGTATTTTTTTGTCAAATTTCTAAAACTGGCTACATAATAACTCCCACAACAGCAGCCCTGTGAGGTAGGTTGGGTTGAGAGACAGCTGGCTTTCATGGCTTAGGGACCTGAACTCATGGTTTCTGCAGCAATCATAAATGTGAAAATTGTCCTAAGTCATTTTTTCCCAATACCATTGTAACTGTGAACAGTCACTAAGTGAAGATTGTAAGTCAATGACTACTTGCATAGCTAAATAGCACCTCAATATTAAGAGGCAGTTTTTCTCAGATGATACAACAGGGATACAACAAAAAAGTGGTTGCCTTTAGGGCTTGCTTGTTTAGGAAGCATCAAAGTGGACAAGAGTGCAGGCTAAAGAGAGTCATTTTGATCCAATCAAGAATATTCCTTTTCTCGCTGAATCTTTGTTTTATTAATGTCAGGAGAGCATTCCTCCATCAAAGGCTTCTGGTCAGCAACATTCCAGAGCCTGCATTCTGCCCCGTCAGCGACCCATCCTCCCCTTCCTTTGTTTACCCTTCTGGAGCCACATTGCCTCTAGCAGCTTTGCTGCTGCAGACTACAGCTGAGCCTCCATCCTGGTTTCCTGCAGATCTTTGAAAAACTGGGGACCACCCAGTTGATCTTTCAAAACTCATAGGCCAAATCCCACTGAGCCTGGTGGGGAAGGGCCAAGGATCAAGAGGTATCTGGGGTTCCAGATCTGGGAATCCCTGGTGTAATCTTGGGAGACAGGAGACGCAGTCTATATAGACAAAATTTGAGTCTGAAAAGTAGGGAAAGCGTCAACGAAGGAACTCTTCCTAGTTTTCAGGAGAGTAAAAGTGAGGGCAGGAGGAACACTTTGTGACTTATAAGATTGATGATAGCCTTGTGAGGTAGTCTGGACAAGAAGCACAGCCAAGAATTCTAGCTCTATTTTGTGTGTGTGTGTGTGTGTAAAGTAATTATTACAAAATCTTGCAAGTCTGAAAGCACTGTCTCATCCCTCACTTTTCTTTTCCCTGAAAATTAGGGAAGTTCCCTTCAGAAATGCTTTCACCACCCCTCATCTTTCAGACTCCAATTATGCTTATCAGACCATGGTCCACACTATGAGACTTCTTCCTGTCTCTGAAGGTCATTCCCACATACCATTATACCTGCCATTACTTTCTGAGAGAGTCCCAGAAACAGTGAGAAAATAGAAGAGAATATTTAAGGCTGAGGGTTGAATCGTGGGGGTCCTTGGTGTTCTCTGAGCTGTTTTCTTGCAGATGTTTCATTACCCATCTAGGTAACATCATCAGTCCTAGCGCAAACTAGTTCTAGTTTGGCAATGAAATGTCTGCAAGAAAACAGCCAAGCTCAGAGAGCACCTACAGAAGAGCTGGGAAAGATGCTCCCTCTACAAATAATGAACCCCAGAGGGAGCAGCTCCAGGCTGGGAAAATGTGCAGCCATCAGTAACTACAGCAGTGCTTCCCAAATGTGGGTAAATTATCCAAAACTGGATAAAAGTGTTTTTTTATTTAGGTAATGACACACAAACCCATTAACAACAGAGAAATTTAAATTGACTTAAAGATTGTCATGTGTATATGGAGATTCTCAGTCATCCAGCTCATGGTTGTCCCAAAGGTGTTTTTTCAAGAGGCAACGTCTTTCTTTGAAGACGTTTCGCTTCTCATCCAAGACACTTCTTCAGCTCTGACTGGATGGTGGATCTTTGGGGCTTCCCAGCACTTTTTCACCTTCCCTATGTAGAGAGGCAACAATTATACTTCCCTTCACAAAGTTGCCTTTTAACAATGTGAACTTTGGTTTCCTGAGTGGCAATGTCAGATCCTCCATTCCACTTTGTTTTCTAGGGCACTCCCTTCTTTCTGGCCTTTGTCCCCAAATATTCTTTTGCTCTGCAGAGAAATATGGAAGGCGCTGCTTTTAAAAATGTTTATAGAGAATCCCTAGCAGGAATGATCTTCCAGATTTAATTTCCAGCTCTCTGGAATTAATATAAAAATCAAGCTAAAATTCAGCAAAAGGAAGAAGAGATATTGTGAATAATGTGGGCATAATGTAGGTTTAGTTGCCTTTCCTTTTCTCTCCCCCCCCCCTTATTCTATGCCTCTAATTTTGTTGGCTATTTCAGCTTTCCAGTCTATATTTTGTAAGAACTATTCACCATAACTGATTTCCTTATTTGTTTGCATCTGAGGTAGACTGCCTCTGGATAGTAAAGTTCCATTTAGCTATAATGATGAAATTGTGATCATCTTTGATCCTCAAGCTGCGTCATCTGAGGCAGACTGCCTGTTAATACTGAAGTTCCATTCACTTTAATTAGGAATTTATAGAAGGCAGGAACCTTCTTCTGAAGCTAAGGTGTCCTTAGAGCGGTCAAAAAAGTTAAGATGACGGCCACAACCTCATCACAAGGTCCTGCCCCTTTTTTGTGTGACTTCTTCTGTGGATACCCAAAAGAGTGTCCAACTGCTGTTAGCTGGGTTACTTGCAGGACTGTCATTATATCTGACTGTCTAGTACGAACTGACAAGATCGCCACACACCCCCTTCCCACCCCTGAAGAGGAGACTCCAAAATATAAGGTGCAGACATGAAAGAAACAATGGAGGTTTCATTTTGGTCTAGTTCAGGGGTAGACAACCTTGGCTCTTTTATGACTCGTGGACTTCAGCTCCCAGAATTCCTGAGCCAGCATGGCTCAGCTTGGAAACTCTCCCTTTCCCCTCAGCATGGCTGGCTCAGGAATTCTGGGAGTTGAAGTCCACGAGTCATAAAAGAGCCAAGGTTGCCTACCCCTGGTCTAGTTATTAAAGAGAGCAGGTTAGAAAGTGGGAGGTGATGAGTTCTAGTTCTGCCTTAATTCTGCCTTAGGCACCTTGGGGTGATCTTAGGTCAGCCACTCTCTCTTAGCCCTGGGAAAAAAGAAGGCAAAAGAAAGCATCTTCTGAAAAATATGGTAAATAAAATTGCAGGGATTTGTCCAGGCAGTCAAAGGGAGTCAAGACTGGCTCAAAGCCAACAATAATAGTTATAGGTGACTTGAGTGCAATCCCAAAACACCTGGAAGCACCTCTTAAACACAATCCGCATTGACAAAATCCTCATCAGCAACTGCAAACGGCAGCTTTACTTGAACAGCTTACATCCTGCGATGATACCTTTAACATCATCCAGCAACAATATCTGCCTATCCCAGGTTCTTGGAAGGACTCATAAGTAAACAAAAGTACCAAATCCAGTGTAAACAATGTGGCTGACTGTGCAACCAACTATAATAATAGTTAAGACATCTGAATCTGTGCTTCCAAACTGGGACTGCAGAGCCACCTTTGTGCCCAGCTGTTTGTTTTCTTCAAACCCGAAAGACTACCAACTTAATAATATGCAGCTCTCTGTGTTATATATGCTTTCCTAAGTTCCAGTTTAGGCCACCAAAACATGAAAAAATGTGGGAAACTAGAGACCAAATTTGTGTTTCAAGGAGAAAAAAGGGCTGGCTGTGTTTTTACCCTGGCTCACCATCTAGAGTCCAAAGAGGGAATTGCAGGGAATTGCCTTCATGTGAAGTGGTCCTTACCCCCACCCCCCCAACCCGAAGGCTGTTCTTTTTCTATCTGGTCACTGGTTCTTTTGCGCCATTGCTTCCGTTCTTCTTAATCTAAGATTCACTCCCTCCAAATCTCTCTTTGGATGTTGACAGTCCTGATGATCTAGAATGCCTTTTGAACTGGAATGGTGCTTGGAATCTGTTCTTATTCCTTTCTTGTTCTTTGTTTCTAGGTTTTATGATACAGTGCCACCATGTCTGCAACTTTTCAACTTATCTTGTAATCCTTGACTTATGACCACAATTGACAAGCCAACACTTCCATTGCTAAGCAAGACAGTTGTTAAGAGAATTTTGCCCTGTTTTACGACCTTTCTTGCCACACCTGTCAAGTGAATCACTGCAGTTATAACATGGTTGTTAAGTGAATCTGGCTTCCCCATTGACTTTGCTTCTCCAGAGATCTTCCTGCCCAAATCAAGATTATCCTTGAAGGCAACTGAGTTGGGGATACTGTGCCATATTGAAGCATCCACCTTCTAACTCCTTTAGACCTTAGAATTACTCTGCATTTGGGCATTTATAATGATACCGCCATTATAAAATATTGTCTTTACAAGGTTTTTTAATATTTTAATTACCATCATATTTTAATATTAACTATGCTCAATGAGGGGGTATGATGGCTCAGTAAATGATGATAAAAAGGTATGATGGTAAAAAGACACTGAGCTTGTTGGTTGGAAAACTGACAGCCCATCCGGGGTGGGATTCAGCTGGTTTGTACCACTTCAGCAAAACTGGTAGCTAATTTTTTGTTGCCAGGGCCCAGGATGGACTTCCAGAAGCAGCATCCACACAGAGAACCGGTTGTTCACATATTTGAATCCCACTACTGCCAAGCTCCAAACAATGGGGTGAGCTCCCGTTCTTTGCCCCAGCTCCTGCCCAGCTAGCCGTTTGAAAGCAAGCAAATGCCAGTAGATAAATAGGTGCCACTTCAATGGGAAGGTAACAGCCTTCTGTGTTCCTTTGGCACACAGCCATGCTGGCCGCATGACCCCAGAAAATGTTATACTGAGCAGAGATGAGCACTGCGCCCTAGAGTCAGACACGGCTGGACAGGGGAAACCTTTGCCATTTTTATGCCACAGTGATGTAAGTTCTTTCATTCAATTTCTAAGTTTTTATTATGCAACTCAGAATTTACGGTTGTTTGGACATTGGTGTAGTTTTATTCCCTGTTTTATCTCAGTTTTTTAAAAGGTGGTTTTTAAAAGTTTGGTAAGTTTCCTTGGGTAACCTTTGCTGGCAGAGAAAAGGATTGTCCTCTAGTTCTGCCAATTCTTGCCTTTGTTAAGAAAAGTCTTCCTCCTCATTCAATGTAACATCTCTGAAAGGAGGCATTGTTTTCTTTGCCCTGATTGCTTTTGACCCACATTCATCTGCAGTTTCTTTTTCCCTCTTGTTTCCTCCTTCCAGCCTCTCTCTCTTATGGGGAGGAGACAATGCGAAGAAGTATCTGTCAAGGAGTGGCCATGAGACAGGGAGTTTACCTGGACAGGTGTGTGCTGATTCACTTTCCTTTTCCTCCAGCTACTCAGTTTGACTCTGAATCGCAGCGGATGCTGGTTGCATGCAGCACTCAAGACCATGTGGGATTCAAGAAATGGGAGCCTTTCTTATGACCATTATCCCGAGGCCAGACCGGAGCACCTTCCTTCTGCCCTCTGCAACCCTCAATTCAAACCGGCTGCTTCAAGAGTGTCCCTCTTTAAATACACTGCACCATGGCAGGTCTTCTGTGCAGCTCTGGGATCCAAGTTGCAGGTAAGAGGATGAAGACCAAAGTGTGGCTATCAGCACATTCCTCCAAAGTTTGTTCGTTTGTTTCTATCTCATCTTTTTTATTTTTACAAATAACTCAAGACAGCAAACATTCAACACAACTTCCTCCTCTTATTTTCCCCACAACAGTAACCCTGTGAAGAGTATTGGGCTGAGGGAGAGTGACTGGCTTAAAGTCACCCAACTGGCTTTCATGGCTAAAGCAGGATTTGAACTCACAATCTCCTGCGTTCTAGCCTGCTGCCTTAACTAGTAGACCAAACTGGCTTTGAGTTTTCATCAATTTGAAGTTTGAATGGTGTCGAAGGAAACCAGTGATGCTTATGGAAGGGATTGGGGTAGTGGCTAAGAAAGCTACTGTATATGATCATTACTTGAAATTCTTTCCTTTTTAAAAAAAGAATATCTATCTATCTATCTATCTATCTATCTATCTATCTATCTATCTATCTCCCTAACTTCATTTAATTTTGATCAAATTTAAATTTAAATTAGATTGCATCATTGTTGGTATGGTCCACTTCTTTGTCCAGGCCATGCCCACTTTGGGGGATTCTATTCTGTCCACTCTGAAAAAGACTTTGCATTCTCCCCCCCCCACACACTTTATAAGACAGTCCCTGCTGCCTATCACAGTGCAGGCTTGGCATTGATCCCATCTTAGCCTCCCAAGACACCCGTGAGGTAGACTCTTCCTGCTTTCTGAGTTTTTTCTTTTTCCATGTTGGAGCCAGGTTGAATGATAAATTGCTGTTCCTTATCCAGAATTCTCTAGAGCAGGAGTTCTCAACCTTGGCTGGCTGAGGAATTCTGGGAGTTGAAGTCCACAAGTCTTAAAGTTGCCAAGATTGAGAACCCCTGCTCTAGAGTGTTAAAGAGTAATAGTAGTTTCAAATAACAGTTGAAGGACTAGGTTTCAGTCCTTGGAACCTCCCATTTCAATCATTGAAGATAGTGTCTATCCACTTATCTTCTGCCAACACTTTTTCTGACTGGCTTTGATTTGTCCAAACTTAACAATCTTCTCCAACAATTTTTTTCCACTCACTTTATGGTTCAAAACAGTTAGGCATTCCCTCGCTTCTTAGGGCTTATAGAGAGCAGTTTGATTTTATTTCATTGAGCACTGACTAATTTGTTCTTCTTGCTGTTCAAATTTTCTTCATTCCTTTTCTTCAGCCTCACAATTCAAAGGGGCCAATGACACTTTGAGGAACCTTCTTCAGATTCATAGTTCAAAGACGTCTACTCTCTTTCTTTTGTCCTTTCTTATCTCCAGCTTCTATAACCGTCCTTTTTCTTGAAAGGACTCCTGCTTTAAATTATTCTGATGACAACCTTTGTTGCCATAAAAATATCCTTCTCTTTCACAATCTTGCCTACTTGTGTTATTGTCTTCCTCCTTACGATTAATTTCCTCTTTGCTTCTTCAACATATTTTTGTCATTATCGATTCTTAATCCTTCTGCCTGCAAACAAAGAAATAAGTCCACTAAATGTTTTTGTTGGCATTACCTTTTATATCTTAATATTCAGTGTTAACCCAGATTTCACTTCATGTCTTCTTTACTTTTAGCTAGCCCAGTACTGGTAGTGTTATCTTCATATCTGAAACTGCTAATATTTCAGCCTGCATTTTGATACCAGCTTCCAATACAGGTAATCCTCAACTTATGACCACAATTGGGACCAGAAATTCTGTTGTTAAGAAAGGTTAACTGAGGCGCATCTGATTCTACAATCTTTTTGCCACAGTTTTTAATTGCACATATTAAGTGAACCATGTTCCTAAGCACACCTAGCTTCCCCCATTGACTTGACTTGTCAGAAATTGGCTGGAAGGTCAGAAATGGTGATCAAATGTCCCCAGGACATTGAAACTGTTGTAAATACATGCCAGTTGCACGGGCACCCAAATTTTGATCACGTGACCATGGGGATACTGCAACCGTTGTAAGTGGAAGGACAGGTCATAAGTCATCTTTTTTAGTGCTGTTGTAACTTTAAATGGTCACTAAACAAATGGTTGTAAGTCAAGGACTACGCATATAATATAATATATTGTCTGGAAGTTAAACAAATTTGAGGACAAGTTGCATCCTACTGCTGTTCTGTGCTGTATTATAAAGCATTCTAGCTCTCTAGAGCAGGGGTGTCAAACTCGCAATGTCACGTGACGTGTCACAACGCATTGCGACTTTTTTGCCATTGCCGGCAATGGGGTGGGCGCAGTTTTGCTATGATGTATCCAGCCCGCGGGCCGGCAGTTTGACACTCCTGCTCTAAACTCAGCTCTCAGAGTAGCTTCTTGTTCACTGTAAAGATCCCTCCAAAGAATAACCAGATGTTTTGGCCCACTTCATAACCATCGTATATGCCCCATTTTAGTGAGATGTATACCGTCAAAGGATTTACTCTAGTCATAGAAACCTCCTTCTTAAATTAACCGTGTGTGATTCCACATCCCTTCTGTGATTATTTCTTGGTAAACCTCTATATGGCACAGCACTGGGTTACATCAGGCAAACGCCTTCTCAGAACCAAAATGGCTTCTTTGATCTGAACATCTTATGAGGGCTTGTTGAGGAGTCTCATCTCTCAAGACAGTGTTTCTAAATATTGGCATCTTGAAGAGGTGTGGACTTCAAGTCCCAGAATTCCCCAGCCAGCAATTCTGGGAGTTAAAGTCCACGCCTCTTCAAGTTGCTAAGGTCGGAGATCATTGCCTGAGAGAAGCAAGCAGTTTGGGGTAAATAACAGGCTTTGTCAGCGGCAGACCCCACTCATTGAAACGTGCTGTCTCTGGAAGCGTCTCTTCTGGTGGGGAAAAGGGAGGCGAGCCGGGCTGAATGCCAAATTTTGAAAAGTAAATGCATTGCCTTTTGGTGCCACTGTGGCTGCCTGTCTTGTAATGGTTATTCGTGCTTTGTTATTCACCACTCAAAGTCTGATCAGATTGGAGTGTTGGCAAAGATTATCCATAAATGTTTCTACCTTAGTTGCTGGAAGTGGATGCTGCATATTAAGCGTGTTTGTAAGAGAGACCATGGATGGGTGAGCAATGCAACCATGAGAATTTGCTGGTGTATCTCTTACGGATTGCACTGAAACTGGGAGACCTCATCTGAAATCTGTCTTCAGCTATGGGAGTTGAATTTTATCTTCAGGTGTTCATACAACATTTATCCCCAAACCTATTAAAGAATCTAGCAGCTGCATTCTCACATTGAACAATGGTAAAGGCAGTCCTCAACTTACGATCAGTTGTTTACAACCTGATTTCAAAGTTATGGCAGCTGACCCACCCAGACATCTGATTTTGGAAGCTTGGCAACTGGCTCACCTTTACAGCTGTTTGCAGCATTCCATGGTCATGTGACCATGACTTTTGATAGTTTTTGGCAGTTTCTGGCATTTACTTCCTGTTTCCAGCAAAAAAATGGCCATGGATATAATGGATTCACTTAATATTCAATGTTCAGACATTGAATATTGGACATTGAACAATTGTGGTGTTCGCTTAATGGCATCTGCAAAAAAATGTGATCAGGTTGGGTCTGGTCACATGGTGACTCACTTAACAACCTCAATAACTTGCAGCCATAATTCTATACTCAAATTATAGTCATAAGTCAAGGACTACCTATAGTGTATGTATAGTTATGAAAAACTGGCTAGTAAATGACTTGGTGTATATTATATGAACTGAGAAAAGGGGCTGATTTGTTATATCAGTATAGAGACTTGGAGCCAATCATCTTTTGAGCTCAACCTACTCTACAAAATAGTCATGGAGATATGAGCTGAGGTGGCGCAGCAGTTAGGGTGCAGTACTGCAGGCCACTTTAGCTGACTGTGTTCAGCAGGTCAGCGGTTCAAATCTTACCAGCTCAAGGTTAACTCAGCCTTCCATCCTTCCGGGGTAGGTAAAATGAGGACCCAGATTGTTGGGGGCAATGTAAATATATACATACATTGCTTACTGGTGTACACCGCTTAGAGAGTGCTTGCACTTAAAGCGGTATATAAGTCTCATAAATAAATAAATAAATAAATAAACTGGAGGAGGGAATGCTTGAACCCCTGGAGGAAAGGCAGGATTGAATCTAATAGTGAATTAATTAATAAGCAAGCTTCAAGCACTGGATTCAAGCTATATAAGCCAAAAAACAAAGAGAGCTAGCAGAAACTGCTAGAAGGATGGAAGAGCAACTCCTTACATCTTCAACCATAATTGATCAAGAGCCAACATTGTACCTTCTGCCATCAGGCTTGTGGGATAGGAACAGCTTTCAAGCCATTTGAATTTAGATATTTATTTGGATCTTAGTAGAATGCTGCAATCAATCATGTTGAGATGTGCTTTATTGGTCTTCAGTTTCCTAAACTGAGTTAGCTAGCAACTTCTAACTGACCTTGGCTGGTCTTGAACACTAACCAAGATCAGGCCTGCTTAGCACTTGCATCAGAAGCCACTAAGACATCCCAAGACTGCAGGCTAGTCTGAGTAGTTGAAAAAGAATTCAGAGTTCACTGGAGTTGGGTAGCCAATAAATTTAAATACATACATAAATAGGCAGTATCACACTACTTCCATATTGCTCATGACATAGACATGCTCATGAACACACCAGTTTACCTTTTCAGAAAATTAGAATATTCTGTATTTCTTTGATGCTATCTAATTATCACCTGGATTTGCAATCCAGTTCTGGGAACTGAATCTTATACCCTCTTAGCACTAGAAGGCTTGCTTTAATTCCTGCCAAATGATTGTTTTGGCTTGATACAATTTAAAATTGGCTAATTCAGTTTATCAGGAATCAAAGAACAGCTCCCAGGATTTTGCAGGGAGATCTTAGCAACCCAGTTTCTATGATTAATGCAACTTGGGACTCTTTAAATATATTGGGCTACATCCGATGCGTCCTTTGGCTGGGATCATGGCCAACAGATCTGGAGGACAAGAAGTTGGGGAGTTACCATCTCACAAAACTTTTGCAGCAAAGCAGTAATGTATTTTCTGTAGCAAGGTGGGGTGCGAGGCCTTGTCCGGTGGGAATTTTTAAAAAGTTCTTCAAGAATTGTTGAGCTACAAGAAAAAAAAGTGAAAGCAATCTAGTTTCTATTGGATCATAAAAATGCAACTGTCTCAAGGGTGGTGCCTGATGTTTTTATAGTAGCTGTGGACTTTGCCTTGTACATGCCATTAAGATGAGATTTACAGGGTCACCTAGTGGCACCTAACAAGTTTTCCTTTGTCATATAAAGAAATATTCTGGGAACTGGGCTGACACACCTATTCTTTCCTGGATTTGGACTACTTTGAGCCTGCAATGAATTACAGCAGGCTCTAAGAAAGAGGCTCCTGAATTTACAGGTAGTCCTTGATAAATACCTCAGAGGATAAATGGGTGAATGGCGCTCCTCCAGATGTTAACAGCCTTGCCAGGGTAAATATAGCAAAAGTCCTGGTGGTACAGTGGTTAGAATGCAGTACAGGTAGTCCTCGTCATACAACAGTTAATTTAGTGACCGTTCAAAGTTACAATGGCAGAGAAAAAAGTGACTTAAGACTGTTTTCCACACTTGTGACCGTTGCAGCATCCCCAGGGTCATGTGATCAAAATTCAGACGCTTGGCAACTGGCTCACATTTATGTCGGTTGCAGTGTCCCTGGGGTCATATGATCCCCTTTTGCGCCCTTCTGACAGACAAAATCAACGGGGAATCCAGATTCGCTTGACAACCGTGTACTAACTTTAACAACTGCAGTGATTCACTTAACAACTGTGGCAAGAAAAGTCGCAAAATGGGGCAAAATTCCCTTAACAAATGTTTGACTTGGCAAGAGAAATTTGGGGCTCATTTGTGGTCATGAGGTGAGGACTACCTGTATTGCAGGCTAACTCTGCCCACAGTCTGAAATGAGGACCCAGATTGTTGGGCGGGCAATAGGCTGACATTGTGAACCGCTCAGAGAGTGCTGTAAAGCACTATGGAGCAGTATATAAGTGTAAGTGCCGTTGCTATTGCTACTGCTATGGAGCAGCACTGTCAGCCTGGTATACCATAGAACAGGGGTCTTCAAACCTGGCAACTTTAAGACTTGTGGACTTCAACTCCCAGAATTCCTCAGCTGGCTGGCTGAGGAATTCTGGGAGTTGAAGTCCACAAGTCTTAAAGTTGCCAAGTTTGAAGACCCCTGCCATAGAATTTGATTGCTCTTTCTCCCTTGTCACCATGGCCTAGGACTTGAGATACAGGTAGTCCTCAACGTGCCACCACAATAGGGACTGGAAAATTCATCCTTAAGCAGTATGGTTATGAAGTGAAGATCACACCACTGCGCCCAGTTTTATGACTGTTTTTCCTGCAGCTGTTAAGTGAATCAATGCAGTCCTTAAGCAAGACATCTCATGAGCATGATTTGCAATCTTCCTGCTGGCTTTCTCATGTAGCTGTTGCCAGGTCCCTGAATTACAAAGAGATGACTGTGTGGATGCTGAGGCTACTTGTAAGTGCTAGCACAGGTCCTAAATAACTTTTTTTTCTGCACCTTTGCAAATTTGAACAATCATTCAACACATGGTTATATACAGGTAGTTCCTCAACTTACAACAGGGGTCTTCAAACTTGGCTCTTTTATGACTTGTGGACTTCAACTCCCAGAATTCCTCAGCCAGCGTGCCTGGCTGAGGAATTCTGGGAGTTGAAGTCCACAAGTCATAAAAGGGCCAAGTTTGAAGACCCCTGACTTACCACCACAGTTGGGATCAGAATTTTTGTTCCTAAACAAGATTGTTGTTAAGCGAGTCACATCTGATTTTATGACTTTTTTGCTACGGTTCCTAAGGAAATCACTGCGGATGTTAAATGAATCACATGGTTGTTAAGTGAGTACGGCTTCCCCCATTGACTTTGCTTATCTCGAAGCCATTGGGATGGTCACAAACCCTAACACTGCAACCATCATAAACACTATACATGCTGGGTTGTCAAATACCTGAATTTTGATCATATGACTGTGGTGATGCTGTGACAGTCATAAGTGTGAAGATCAGTTGTAAGTCACTTTTTCAGTGCTGTTGTAACTTTGAACAGTTGCTAAACGAATGGTTGTAAGTCAAGGGCAATTTGCAACAAACTCCGCCATTTAACTAATCTCTTAAAACCCCAAGGCAAAGATATAACAATTAGTTTAGCCATCCTAAAATATATTGGAGGGTGTTTCAATCCCAAGTGGCTATGACCAAAATTCATCAACACAGACTTTAAAAGGGCACACATGGGTTTATTAAATGATTTTTTTTTTTAAAAAAAAGTCTGTTTTCCGGGCTTCTTGAAATGACAATTGCAGAACAGTCTCCCGATAATAGACCATAGTTCAACAGCAGTTCAAAACCAGTAGAAAACAACTGTAACAAATCCAGAAATGGAGCTGAAACTACAAGAGCTGTAAAGACTTTTCAAAATGCCAAAGGGTTAATTAAATCCCCACAAAAGTCCGATGAAACAGCCAGGACTTTGCACAGTGCTTTGAAAAAACACGTCACCTCTGGAATCCGCCAGGATTAAAATGAACCATCCTTACCTTTAATCTTCATGCAGTCTCTACTCTGGCTTTACAAAAGTGGTTCTGTTTTTTTAGATAGAGATCATTTCTGAACAAATGCAACCTGAATGTGACCTCAGATAATTAATTTCTACCTTAAGGCAGATTCAGGATAGGAATTTAGGGCTGTGGGGCAGTGGGAGGCTTGGGTAATGTTCTTCTTTCTTGTTTTCCCAGTGCTGACTTCCCTCTGGAAGGGCCAGTAAGAATGCTTCCCTTTCCGTAACAGGTGGCAAGTGGGGGGGGGCACATTTTGTCCTGAAATTCATTGCATCTCTGCTGCTTCAAGTTCTAGAAATTTGTTTCTCTCTGTGTGGGTGAGTGTGTGTGGGTGAGATCCTGATGGAGAAAGCTTATCAGTGTGACACAGCCCACAGACTTGTAGTGTCTCTGCCCCTCCCATTCCTACGCTTGTTCAAAACTGCCAACGCAGCTCAAACTTGCAAATACCTCTCCGATCAAATGCCCCTGAGCAGGCCTCCCACAGCAGACAGGCATTCAAGTTGGGAAACGTTGGTCTGGATTCAGAAGGCTGGGACTGGCCAACAGGTTTGGGTCTGCCTGTGCTAGGCATGGATTTTGGAGGCTACCTGCGCAAATTCAGACATGGGTCTCTGGGATCCTGTGCAGGTGAGTCCTCGGGGGACTTGGGACAGGTTTGCTCAAATATGGGATTGTATGGAGGAATTGAAAGGGCAAAGATAGGTTTCCAAGCCCAATTTTGAATGTGGCTCCTGCTTCCAGAATCAGATCTGGACCTTAGAATGTGGTGTCAGCCAGGCGTGCGAGAAAAATTGGGTTAGAAAGTGTTTGAGGGCAGACTTACCTAATTTCCTTTCTAAACTCAGATGAAATTTAATTCTGGTTTGAAATTCACAGCTCTGCATTGGACTAATAATAATGATGATGGAAAATAATAGAAGTGAATGCATGTATAGTATATAGTATTTACAAAAAAGGGCGAGCAAGGGGTGATAATATAGAACTTGGTTTCAACAGGTGAATATCATGCAGAACTGCATATAGAATTGTATGTAGGAATTTGCGAGTTTGGTTAATACGATCTTTAAACATATTAATGAAGATTGAGATAATGAGAGAAACTGAACATTTGCTTATTCCTAGTAGCAGGTAGATTTGTATTCCTAAAAACTCTGGATGTCCTTTTATTTGATTTTCTGGAAGTCAAACTGTTACTCTGTAAGATACAGAGTATATATTGAGATACTATGTAAGATACAGAAGATATATTAAGTGTCCCTCCATGAGGGAGATGGGCAGTTTAAAAAAAGTGATACAGGGATATCGATAGATAGGAGAGGGAGGGAGGGAGGGAGGGAGGGAGGGAGAGAGAGAGAGAGAGAGAGAGAGAGAGAGAGAGAGAGAGAGAGAGAGAGAGAGAGAGAGAGAGAGAGAGAGAGAGAGAGAAACTCTAGAATCAGAATCACAAGAGTTAGAAAGGGCCATCCAAATCCAAGCACTGAGAGATGGCTGCCTAGCTGAGTGTTTTTCAATCTTGGCAATTTTAAGATGTGTAGACTTCAACTCCCAGAATTTCTCAGCCAACATGCTAATTGGGGAATTCTGGGAGTTGAAGTCCACCCGTCTTAAAGTTGCCAAGGTTGAAAAAAACACTGATATAATCCCTGAGCAAACACCTCCAGTGACAAGGAGTCCACCACCTCTGTGAATGTTGAAATATGCAACTGCTTTTATGTGTTACACATTAAAAAACAGTTGACATTTTTTACTGTACTCTGTGAGCACCTATGATGTAACTTAAATTCACCAGTTCTGTCTAGCAAAAGAGAACAAGCATTCTTTAGAGCTTTTTTCAAGTTGATGTTTTAATTCCTAAGCAAAATGCCAGAAGGAAAGTTGAAACCAAGCAAATAAGTAGGGAAATTAACAAGATTTATATACTGTAGAGGTCTCTGCTGGGTTCATTCAAAGCAGTCCCAAACTATTTGTCCCAACATCCTTTTTCCAGCAGGGATCAACCAGCAGCCTCTGGGAAACTCAGTAGCAGAATATGGAGACAAGAGTTCTTCATCCCAGATTCTCTAATTTGGTGATAGACTGACTCTGCATCTGGAGGCTATCATGATTAAGTCATTAACAGAACAATCTTCAATTTGTTTTTGAAATAATTTAAGATGATGCTTTTTACCTTTTGGTAGAAATGTATTTCATAGATGTCATGTAAAGATAGAGTAGTGGAATATATTGCTTCTGAATCTGGAGGCACCATTATTGGCCACTTCAGATGGGAGCTGCTGATAGCCAAAGTGAATCCATGAATAACAGAATAACAGAATTGGAAGGGACCTTGGAGGTCTTCTAGTCCAACCCCCTGCTCAGGCAGGAGAACCTGTATCATTTCAGACAAACGGTTGTCCAAGCTCTTCTTTAAAATCTCCAGTGTTGGAGCACCCACAACTTCTGGAGGCAGGTTGTTCCACTGATTGTTTTCACTGCCAGAAAATTTCTCCTTAGTTCCAGGTTGCTTCTCTCCTTGATTAGTTTCCATGAGTTGCTTCTTGTGCTGACTTCAGGCGCTTTGGAGAATAGTTTGACTCCCTCTTCTTTGTGGCAGCCTCTCAAGTCTACTTTCCATTTTCCAGCTTGCCAAGACACAAGGCAGATAAGCAATGGGTCTTCTGTTTTTCTTTTCTTCAACATCTGGTTTTCCAAGCTAGACACCCACTTTGCCATCATCCTCGGTAATACAAGCTGTGCTGACATATAACAAGTCAACAGTGAGCCTCAAACTATTCAGGACAGGACTCCAAATGAATTGCTAATATGCTTCAAGAAAGAGATAAGTAGCTTTCTTTGGATGACCCAACAAAGTTGTCTTTGTTCTTATTATGCTAATTCATTGAAACCTGAAGATGAAAAGGAAAAATCTTTTGTTTTTACATGGTGGGGATACATTCTTGGGAAGAGATCAGCCTGGCTCCTCCATTCTGTTTTCATGATGTAAAATGCCTCCCCAAAATCCCTTTCCTCCAAGAGTGGAGTCCCTAAACTCAGAGGCAGTATAGCTCTGGAGACCAGTTGTTGGAGTCAAAGAACAGCGGAATGGTACTTGGCTTATAACCATTCACTTAGTGACCAAAGTTATAACAGCACTGAAAAAAACGACTTACACCTGGTCCTTGCACTTGACAACTGTTAAGCAGGTCATGCGATCAAAATTCAGGCACTTGGCAATTGGCTTGTATTCACGATGGTTGCAGCATCCTGGTGTCCTGTGATCATTTGTGACCTTCCCAATGACTCTCAACAAGCACAGTCAATGGGGGAAGTCAGATTTGTTTAGCAACCGTGTGATTCACTTAACAAGTGCAGTGATTTGCTTAACAACGGTGGCAAAAAAGGTCATACAATTGGGCAGGTGTCACTTAACTGCCTTGCTTAGCAATTCTGGCCCCAGTTGTGGTGATAAGTTGTGGTTGTAGCTACCTGTATTGAAAAGGGGGTGCTGGACAAGAGGATTGACTAGTTGGGAGCTCTTTAAATTTCTGGATTATGTAGTTCAGACATTGATAAGCATGTATGGGAAGTTTACTTTAAAACAGGGAAGCATCAGGTTTCATTCCAGCCTGATTTAGGAGGCACTTTACTTATCAGCTACAGAGCTAATGATTTTCAGATGTCTTCTCAATTTTTTTATTACCTCTCCTACCTGGGCAGCGAGGAAGGAGAGAAGTATCTATGGTGGGGGGAAAAGCACAGGGCAGGGGAGCTTCTGGCTCCCATCCACCCAGACTGTCCTATCCTGTTTGTTCTGAATTTTCTCAGCAATTCCAAACTCAAATAACAGCTTAAGCAAAGAGAAGGGGGAGGAGGCATATTTCACATTGATACCAGCTATAAGCTAATGCCTGACTGGCATTTCTGCAATAGCAAGAACCCTCTTTGGGTGGACTTTTGACTCCCAGGCACGATAAGCTGAAGAGAGGTCATAAACATCTATCTTGGGTATGGCCAAAGGTCAGACAGAGAAGACCGAACAAACTGCTGGTGGAATGAGTGCAACTTGAGGAATTCGGCAAAAAGAAAAAAAAATACCTGGGGACAGTGGGGCTTGGCCGAGGGTGTGGACAGAAATTCCTGAGTTGCTTCTTCAGCTTTACCTTGGGGGGGAGGACATGGAACAAAATCTCCTTCCCGCTCTCTGAGAAGCCAAGAAATAGCTGCTTGCAAACTCATCTCAGCGGAATTAATTAATTCAAAGGGCATTTTAATATACTGGGATGTGGGAGGTGGCAAGGTCTTGGCATCGTAAGTAAGGAAGAGTGTCAAAGGGGCATTTTGTCATCTACCAAAAAAATTAGGCACAAAACAAGAAGAAAACAGGTAGCAGAGCACTTTTTGGCACCTTTCTTCAAAGCAAATGAGAGTTTTATTCTGTTTGTTTTGGTAGCTTTTTTGTTTGTTTGTAAAAAATATTTTTAAGGGATTTAAACACTATAGCACCCAACAACAGTGAAGGAATAGAATAATATTAGCAAAAATTAGTGGGGAGAATGCAGAGAAGAGAGTTATAAGATCAGCCTTTCAGCTCACATAAATCAGGTGTGGCATACCTGTTGCCCTTTTCATGTGGCTGAACTATAAATAATGGGGCCCTTGGTGCTCCGTGAACTTGGTGGTTTTCTTGCAAATGTTTCATTACCAAACTAGGTAACATCATCAGCACCAAGGATCCCATAGTTCAAGCCTGAGCTGCAAATATTCTTTTCTATCTGAACTATAAATCCAGCATCCCTCATTATTTATGATACAGTGAGTTATAATTCAGCAACATCTGAATCCTGTTCTCTGATTGGTGCTTAGCTGCATTAGCATACTGCAGCACTGAAACGCCTTTTAAGAACTGTCATGCTAATTCAAAGCAAGTTTGTCTAGTTGTCTTGTATATCATAACAGTAGGAGGGATATTTCTAGGAAGCCCACAATCAGGCGCATGAAAGCCACAATTCCTTCACCTATTATGTATCTGCCATATTTGCAGATAGACTCTTTATGCACACAGAGAATCTGATAAAAATAAGTGTGGCTCACCTTGTTTCTGCAAAGTTTAGGGGGAGGGGGTATAAATGCAAACAAGATTCTTCCATTCTTGTCCATACCTACCAGATTCAAGCTGATTGGCACTGTAGATGTGGGTCCTTACAAAGCTTGGCTGCTCAAAAATGTTTCCTTTTAATTTTCACCAGCCATGGTGAAGTCACTGGTTTTATGTCTTGTACCTGAGCTAAGGTGTA